TGGACATATTTCACCCGTCCTTGAATAAGATCTAAACGGGGAACATCTTATGATTAAGCCATCAGGTGTCCTAAATACTAAAACTTTAAAGAGACCGTTGGCATAATTTTAAAGAACCTTGGAAAAGTTAAAGTCCTTCGTCGGATTTACATTTATCAAAATTACGAAAATATTCAATTGTTTCATTAGAAAATTGATAATTTTAATTTGAAAAGAGACCGGCGGAGTGCGGAATCATACAGTAGATACAAGGAAAGAAATTGACATAATTAATGTTTTTTCAAATATTTATAGATTTATTGGATGAATCAAGGAGGTCGTAACTCTTTAAATAAAGTTTACTCAAAGTTTCTTCCCCAGTTCAGCTTTAATTTCGATCCAAAATTCTTCAAATAATATCAAAAATCTTGAAAAAGGTTTTTCATCAAAGTATGTTTTTTTTAAAACATGAATTCAAATTTTTAGATTGTTTCAACTCTGTTTACAATATGCAATAATAAGGAAGATATTTTGAATATTGAATGTATTTTGTTTGGACTAAACAGCCTCTAGATACTATTTTATACTCACGGGTTAATGAGATCAATACAGGGTGTTTCAGAAAATATGCAGCTGTTGGAAACATCAAAGAATGAATATGAAGATATTTCCATTAGAAACATTAAAGGTAACATAATTTTAGCTTGAAATAAGGTTAAAAGGGCTGTAAACGTTATTTCAAATAACTCTCCATGCATGGATGGCAATGCCCGATTTACAACAGTTACGGTACCTGTAATAGCTTTGTCTTCAAACTGTTTATTTTCATTTGCGGATTTTCTACAAAAGTGACTTGCGCAGTTCTTGCATAAAAAAAAGAATAAAGAAATTTACAAAGTAAACCTTTTAAACTTAGAAAATCGACGTTATCATCCAAATTTTTGATCAAATAATGGTAATGATACTGTTGTAAATCTTTGTATGGATGATCACTTGAAATTACGCTTACAGTTCCTTTAAAGCAGCACTCTTTATACTAGGTAGGTATTCAGTCAATTCATGTTCATGACTATTGACTATGCATAGTTTAAAGTCGTCATTACAATTTCATGTTTTATTAAGCTTAACAATATTTACTGTGCCTGATCTTATCACAGGGTGTCCCACATCATATTAGACCGAGAACGGGTCTAAATTACGATTTTAGGGACTAATTAGAAAATTTCATTAGAATTAATCATTTTGAAAAATAACATAAGGTTTATATAAGAATTTTCTTGCGGAAAATGATAAGTTTTTCGAGTATTAAGGGTTTATTTTGGTGTTAAAGATTGGAGATAATCTAATCTGATATGGGACGCTCTGTAGGTAAAAGTGTTCTGCAAACTTTACTCAAATTCATAGATTAGTCATTACCACAGACTAGACAAAAACAGACCGCTGATAAGCTTTCACGGGCTGGACTAATTAGGTAGTGGTAAATTTTGCATAGAGAGGGTTACTTGAAATTACGCTCACAGTCCCTTTAATGGGTGCCACTACAAAATCTGGAATTTTTTACATTTAGCATGAAATTAGGGATTCCAGCGAACAAAAACTTTCTCGAAAAAATGCGGAAATGTTCGTTCGTATTTCGCAAAAAACTGGAATTCTCTGCTCTCAGAGCTCATGGCATTAGAAGTTTGATTATATCATAATTAATATTTTCTCTTCTGATTTGTTCGCAAAATCTTTGCATTTTCCCTCGAAATTTCTGACGATTTCCCCTTTTTGCCAGAAACCCCACATAAAAAACATTCTGTGCTAATCTAAAAATAAAAATTTGTTTTTCACAAAAAATATTGTTCTTGGGAATTAAGGAATTTGGAAAAACACTGCAACCCAAAACTTATTTTTTAATTGATTGTGTTTGAAAAGATATGGTGTATGGTTATTGTATTAATTGATAGAATAATTTAAAACAGTCGTTGTTTTGTTTAAAGCCAATTAAGAAATGGTAAAATTGTTAGTTATCTTTGGTTGGTCGGGGTTTATATTTTTCCGATAAAATAAAAAGAATTGGCCCTTTTTTAAACAGAAGAAAACTTGTTAACCATATAATATTATCTTTTCTAAATCTTAAGATGACATGTATATAAATGATTTTTTTTCACAAATACACAAACGACCAGAAAGCTATTTCAAACTAGTATTTTTCTGAAATAAGTTAACTAAAGCGATAAAGAATATTTTTACTATTTTCAAAGCTTGAAAGGCGTGAAATATTCTAATATTCTGCACCCCTATTATTTAGAAGATTGAATTACCGTAATACTATTTAAAAACTAGCACCGTAATACTTTTCTAAAACTAGCACCGTGATACTATTCTAAAACTATTTTAAAACTATTTCAAAACTATTTCAAAAACGATTAGTTTGAGTGTGCTTTGTTTAATGTTTACTGTATGCTTTTGAACATAAAAGTAGAAGTAGCAACAACTGAAAGGCTTTGAGGTTAAAACTGTTTTATCTTAAATAGGCCTTGGTGCATTACCGAGAAAACATTTTAAGAAGGCAATGACCGATTCACAACGGTACCCTAAAAACTTTGAACAATAGTGAGGAAGATATTTTCGTTTTCTTAGCTTAAACAGAGTTTAATTCTGATATTTTTTAGTTGTTTCGGTAGGAATAATCCGCAATTAAAAAATAACGACGATTTCATTAACGTTTTCTCTTATGAAAAACACAAGACTCGTTAAAGATTGAAAATACTATTTAATGACTTAACTAGTTCTGATTTAAATCTTGTTTCGACCGAAGAGTTGGAATAAATCAAAACTCTTCAGCTTTGTTGCCACACCTCTTTCTATAGTTCAACCCCCTCTAC